CTCTACCCATCTAGCAACAGAACTCACCACATGGCACCTGGGGAGATTGCATCACCCAGCAAGGCTCAACCAAGCCTGGGACTGAAAAGACAACTTACAAAGTTACCCTTGCATGGCCCCATGGGAGTCTGACAACCAATCAGAATACAAGCTCAAATTCAAAGCCGAACAGAGGATATAAATCAGTGGTGGGTTGCTCCCAGTTCTATAGAACCAGTAGTAAAACCGGCGGGAGGCTCCGCCCACCTGCCACAACACCATCATGGGTCATCTACGCATGCGCAGAAGTGCGCGCGCTCCCGCTGCAAACCAGTAGTAAAGGTAAGTAGAACCCACCCCTGGTATAAATCTCTCTCTCTCTCTCTCTCTCACCCATGTGCCTATTTGCACAGGACCTCAAAACCATGTGGTCCTGTCCACCATTAAACCGTCTTTTCAAGCAGTCTCCATGTTTCCAGTGTCTTTCTCCCCACTTGGAACTGAACCCAGATGGACATTTCTTCCAACAAGGCGAACAAAATTTTGGAGAGAACAACGACACAACCTTCCCATTCCATTTCTGCAGCCAAAGTGGGAGCCTCCTATGGCTGCTTTAAATTAAAAACAAAGGGGTTGTAGAGACAGGGGTAAAATTACTACTGAAAAGGCCTCTTTGTTGCAAATCAATTCAGTGGCTGCCAAATGCACCTTTTGCATGACTTATTTGTAATGACAAATATGAAAAGACAGAAACAGGGTTTTTAAAGCTTTTTTCTTTCTTTCTTTCTTTCTTTTTTCAGCTTGAAGGCAAGGAATGTTACACCATGTAAAAGAGATGCTATGCTGGCACCTCTCACACACTATGGCTGAGAATCCTAGTTGCTATTACAGCGGCCCTGAAAAAGTGACTTATGACCATTTTTCACACTTATGACTGTTGCATCGTCCACATGGTCATGTGATCAAAATTCAGATGCTTGGCAGATGACTCATATTTATTGCAATGTTATGTGATTACATCACAATGTTATTGTGATCTCCCTTTGCAACCTTCTGACAAGCAAAGTCAATGGGGAAGCCAGATTCACTTAACAACCTAATGTGAATGATATAGGAATAGTACAGGATCAGCTATATGAACACTGAAGGACTCTCTTTATTCACATTATTATAAAGAAAGAAATGTGCTTGTTTAGAAATTACACTAGGTCAGCTAAATTCCATTCTTGGTAATATATATCTTCTGAGGGGCCTAGCTGTCAAGGATGCAGAGACATACATCTGAAACAAAAAGTTAATTATTTTCCAAAAGCAGTCATAAATCTACGCATCAGCAAACACAGAATTGAGGAAGGTTGTTTAGCTAAAATAATCTCATGAACTAGAAAATAATGAAAGAATTTAGTAATTAGAAAGTGTCAATTATAATGTAACAAATGTATGTTAACCATATATGGAAAACTGCTGTGCTTGCAAAATCCTTTGTCTTGGTGATGTATAAAAGCAGTTGTATCAGAGCTCTTCTGGGTTCAGAATTGCAGATACAAATCTGTTCTGAAACTGCACAATAAAACTGTCTCTGGCTGACCCAGGAATGTTGTTTGGTCCCATCATTCCATAACAAACTGGGCTACTAACTTAACAACTGCAGTGATTCACTGAACAACTGTGGCAAGGAAGATCATAAAATGGGGCAAAACTCATTTAACAACAGAGATACGGGGCTCAATTGTGGTCGTAAGTTGAGGACTACCTGTGCAAGTTTATTTTATTGGTTTTTCAATCCAGCAGGTGCTGACAAGTTCTGGAGAACCACTAGCGGAAATTTTGAGCAGTTCAGAGAACCGGCTAATAGTACCTCTGGCTGGCCCCAGAGTGGGGTGGGAATGGAGATTTTGCAATATCCTTCCCCCAGGAGTGGGGAGGGAATGGAGATTTTGCAGTATCTTCCCCCTGCCATGCCCACCAAGCCACGCCCACCAAGCCACGCCCACAGAACCGGTAGTAAAAAAATTTGGATTTCACCACTGCTCACCCCCTTTTCCTTTTGAGACAGCTGGTACTTAAAACACACACATATCAATAGCACTTAGACTTATATACCGCTTCACAGTGCTTTACAGCCCTCTCAGCGGTTTTTACAGAGTCAGCCTATTGCCCCCAACAATCCGGGTCCTCATTTTATCGACCTCGGAAGGATGGAAGGCTGAGTCAACCTTGAGCCAGTCAGGATTGAGGGAATCGAACTCCTGGCAATGTAAGCAGAGTTAGCCTGCAATACTGCAATCTAACCACTGCGCCACCACAGCTCTTACACATCAGTGGTGGGTTGCTCCCAGTTCTGTCCAGTTCTTTAGAACCGGTAGTAAAAGCAGCGGGAGGCTCCCCCCACCTGCCCGGATGTCATAATTGATGATCTGCGCATGCTCCCGTTGCGAACCGGTAGTAAAGGTAAGTAGAACCGCACCCCTGTTACGCACATAATGGAACATTGCACGTTTTTCATTACAAAGTTTAAAAAAAACCCACAAGATTTCTTTGAATGCAGCAGGGCATTCCTTTGTGCCTGCCTAACTTTATCTAGAAAGGCACTCTTACCTTGTTAAGAGTACTTAATTAATTAAGATACCTGCTCTACAAGTTGTCCTCCACTTACGACCACTCATGCAATGCCAGTTCAAAGTTACAACAGCATCAGAAAAAGTGGCATACAACCTGTACTCATAAGTTACAACCATGGTACCACGGTCATGTGATCGTAATTCAGGCACTTGATGATTTCTGGCAAAAAAAGGCCCATTGCAGAAGTTCAATGGCCACCACAAAAATTGTCGTAAAATTGGGTCCGCCTCAATTTACCATGGAATATTCCAGTCCCAAAATGTGGTCGTAAGTCAAGGACTACTTGTATAATATTTGTGTGCAGACTTTTAGCTCTGTGACCCCCCCCCACCTCTCTGTATCAGCATCCCCTCAAAGTTTCATTCAGCGGTTAATTAAGTTGGCATAAAGGAAAAACTATCAAATACACAGCAAAGAATAATTTTAAGTTTAAGTTTAAATAAATGAAAATACGACTGAAAGGAAATGTCTTGGCCCTACCTGTTATTTTTTGGGGGTGCTCCCCAGACCCCAACAAGCCTCCAAAAGCCAACTGTGTCGAGCAGCCTGTGGAAAAATTCTGCTATATTCCATGGGTGTTAACCAGAACTGAAGCTGTGTGCATCCCCTTCCAACTTCTTTTAATGCTATGCCCCAGGGTGGATAAAAATCAATGTTTTTTAAAAAATCAAAAAAATCAGATTTTTTTAATTTAAATCGGATTTTTTTTATTTTTATCGGATTTTTTTTATTTTTATCGAATTTATTTTAATAAAAAACTTTGATAGTTTTCTATTTAAGATACATAAATAATTTAGTTTATTCAGCATGAAATGGAGCTTAGTTATGTAGCATGAGGCTGTATATTCTGCAACACTGGGACTATCGGTGAGTCAACAGTGGGTCAAAGGAGTAGCAGAGATGACAGTTGCTCTTTAAAAATTATGATTTAAATCAAGTTGATTTAAATCAAGCCTTTTTACTAGTGATTTAAATTGTGATTTAAATCAACTCGATTTAAATCAAATCCACCCTGCTACGCCCCACAGCTTACTTTTCAACTACCACCCAATTTGAATGAAAAATTACATAGGTTCAGATAAGGTGGGAAGCAACGAAAAAGGAGGAAAAAAAAGAATTTTAAAATGACAGCTTGAGCTTTTAGAAGAGTTTTTTTTTTACTGTGACGTGCTCTTTCACTCTGCTCATTTCTTCCCAGCCTCCTTGTTATGACACTTTCCAGAAAACCCATGGGCACCCATCGATTCACAAAAGACTGTGCCCTCCCCCTCAAACTAGCATATAAAGGTAGTCCTCGACTTACAACAGTTCATTTAGTGACCATTCAAAGTTACAACCGCACTGAAAAAAGTGACTTATGACTGTTTTTCACACTTATGACTGCGTCCCCACGGTCACACGATCAAAATTCAGACACGTGGCAAGTGACTCATACTTATGACGGTTGCAGCGATCCCCTTTTGCAAGCTTCTGACAAGCAAAGCCAATGAGGAAGTCAGATTCACTTAACCATCAAAGTGCTACTAACTTAACAAATGCAATGATTCACTTAACAACAAGAGGGCAAGAGCAGTCGTAAGATGGGGCAAACTCACTTAACAAATGTTTCACTTAGCAACATAAATTTTGGGTTCAATTGTGGTCGTAACTCGAGGACTACTTATATTCTCCTAAAGCTGGCTCTTTATGAAACTAAATCAGCTCCAACACTATATAAGGACAAGATTATCAGTGGGGGAGAGGATGGGAGAGGATGGTACTTGTTTTGCAGAAATGATGAATAGCAAAACCAGCTCAGAAAAAGTGGGCATTCAATGGGCAAGAAAATTGGCAACGTGGCACAGAATGTGGTATCTGCAAGGGGATATGCCTGGTTGTAAATTCAACTTGTATAGGAAGACCAACCGGTTGCCCCAATGTCTGGTGTTCTAGTCGAGGCAACTACACGTCGTTCTCGACTTACAAGCAGTTCATTTAATGACCGTTCAAAGTTATAACAGCATTGAAAAAACTGACTTGGGACCATTTTTCACCCTTATGACTTGGTAGCAGCCCCACCATCACGTGATTAAAATTCAGATGCTTAGCAACCGGTTCATATTTATGACCGTTGTTGTTTCCTGAAGTCATAGGATCCCCTTTTATGACCTTCGGACGAGCAAACTCAATGGGGAAGCCAGATTCACTTAACAACCGTGTTACTAACTTAACAACTGCAGTGATTCACTTAACAACTGTGGCAAGAAAGCTCATAAAATGGGGCAAAACTCACTGAACAAATGTCCCACTTAACAACACACATTTTGGGCTCAGTTGTGGTCGTACGTCAAGGACTACCCATACTGTCCCCTCTCTAGCTCACCATCAACCCACCAAAATGGAATAATTTGCCCACCTACCTTTCTCAAGGGCTGAGATGCCCATTGAAGGCTGAGCCAGGTCTGCTTTTTTCTCCCACCTGCCTTCATCGGTGTGGTAGACTTCGACGGAGGCCAGGGGTCTCTGTGTGGAGTCAACCCCACCAATCACCAACACTTCCTTGCCAAGCATCACAGCCGCTGCCCCTGCCCGTGGGGTGGGCATAGAAGGTAACGCCATCCACTTGTGGGAAACCACGTCCAACATTTCCAGGGTGTCCAATGGCTGGCCTTGCTGGCTGCACCCGCCCACCACAAAGAGGTGTCCCTCCTGATAGGTTGGGCTGCAGTATACCCGACAGGTAGGCATGGGTGGGAAGGTCTCCCAGAAGAATGACTTGGTGTTGGCTGCTTCCATTTTGCCCAAGGGCCTGGCATCTCAGGAGACAGACATGGTGATTGTCCCTGCAGCGAGTTGGTGCCTCAACATGGCAGCCTTCTGCATTGGGTCCCCGAAACCATGAAAGATTCACCTGAAGCAAGTCGAAGGACTTATTTCTTCCACCTTTGGAACTCCACATCCACAATGACTGAGGAGGTTGGGAGGAAGATCTGACTGCCGGGAGAGGCCAGGGTGCCCCAAGGAAGCAGGCAAAGACTGCCGTGATGACCAAGCGTTGGGGTCTCCACAGCAGAAGGAACCATTCCGCTCCAGAATGGCTAGGAATAACTTGAAGGAATGGGTAATCCAAACACCGAAGGTGATCGATAACGCTGGAGGTCAGCCCCTAACCATAAGTGGTCAGCCAGTCTCAGAAACCAGGATACGTTCAGCAGGCTTTTCTGGATGAAATCTGTACCTCGGTGTCTCTGCATTGATGCTGAATTCTGAGAGAGAGAAAGAGAGAGAGAGAGAGAATGAGAATGAGCGAGAGAGAGAGAGAGAAGATGTACATTAAATAATTCAGAATAACTCTTTGATCCTGATTCTGCATTCACAAACAAATCAGAATGCTCACATTTCACATAGCTTTATCATAATCTGCGAGACAGATGGAGTGAAGAGTGATTGGCCTAGATTTTAGAAAGATGCTGGCTGGGGAATTCTGGGAGTTGAAGTCCATCACCTTAAAAGTTCTCAAGAATGAGAAACACTATCCTAGAGTTACCCAGTGAATCCCTGACTGAGTGGTGATGATCCTGGATTTTCTTGGTCCAAGTCCTGACCCTCATTCTAAGCCATTCCTGAATATCATGGCTTTTAAAAAGAAGACTCTTGCAGGGCAACTCATTCTCATCAGAGATACTTTTTTCCCCAGGAGAAGACCACCTGGGAGGTCAAATGGAGCCCATGGGATGTGTGAAAGTGCTATTATGAAATCCAACCTGAAAGCCTTCACTCCATTGAAGGTTCTTATTCTTGCTTGGTCTGGGATTATTGCCTAGGTGTGAAGGGCAGATGGAAGTTTGAAGGGTTTAATTTGGGAAATAGTTTTTAATCCAGTGTCAGTGATCTTCACTATGATTAAATTTCTTGAACTGGCTTCCTTGACAGCAGCCATTGTTCTCTCTCTCTCTCTCTCTCTCTCTCTCTCTCTCTCTCTCCCTCTCTCTCTCTTCTCCCTCCCTCCCTCCCCCTCTCTCCCCCCCTCTCTTCTCCCTCCCTCCCTCTCTCCCTCTCCCTCCCTCCCTCTTTTAGGGTAGATAGAGAGTCCTTTCATTATTACTAGTCAAGGTCCCAGTGATTTCATATTTTTATTTATTTATTTATATCCTGCCTCTGTTATTTTTTCAAGGCGACGATCACACATCTCCTCCTCCTTCCTCCCCTCCTCCTATTTTTCCCGCAACAGCAACTCTATGAGGCAGGCTGAACTGAGAGTGAGTGACTGGACCAAGATCATCCAACTGGCTTTCATGCCTAGGGCAGAACTTGAACTCATGGTCTCTTGCTTTCTAGCCTGGTGCCTTAACCGCTAAACCAGGGGTGTAAAACTCAATTTCATTGAGGGATTCATCAGGGTTGTGCTTGACCTCGGGGGTGGGTGGGTGTTAGAGTGGGCGTGGCCAGGATGGGTGTGATGTCACTTGTGTCGGGGGTCCTGTGTTGGCCCGAGCGCTCTGCCAGAGAAAACGGGCTCCTGAGCTCCGTTTTCAGCTGCGATGGCCTCCTGCAACCCTCTGCCAGCAAAAACGGAGTTCGGGAGAGCTGTCCGCCACTCCATCACTGTTTCCAGGGCGGTCCCATGGGTCAGATCTAAGCACCCCACGGGCCGGATCCGGCCCCTGGGCCCTTGAGTTTGACACCCCTGTACTAGACCAAACTGGCTCACTTAGTTATAGAAGCAACAGCATCTTCCTACCCCAGGGAAAAGCACCCATAATGTCCTCATGTCAACATCAACCAGTCTTAAGAAAGTCCTTCTCAAATATGTAACTGGATACTCCAAGAGGACAAATCACGGCTGTGGGATACGTTCATATTTTGATGGAAGGACAACAGTGTATTGGAAGAAAAGCAAACTTAAGTAAATGTGAAAGGTGACTACTGCCATGATTTAACATAATTTCAAAGCAATTTCCTGAAAAATTAGCATAGTGAAGTGGGTCACAGGTGAGAAAATTAGGAAGCAGTGGGGGGGGGGAAGGAAGGCAGATATTCCTGCTCGCTTTCCTTTATTATGGGGGTGTCCTATCTTGGCAAATTTAAGACTTGTAGATTTCAACTCCCAGAATTCTCCAGCCAGCATGGCTGGCTAGGGAATTCTGGTAATTGAAGACCACAAGCCTTAAAGTTGTCAACGTTAGACACACCTGCTTTATTATATCTGCTGTAGCTCCAATTCAGAAACGTGACAGTAAATTGTTAATTGGGTTTCAATTGACTTTTCTCTTTTTGATAATCATTCTGAAATAATTACATTCATGAAAGTGGCACCTGTCCCAAGTATACCTGGTCTTAAAAACTTAGGATTTTTAAAAACTTAGAATTATCTGCCACAATGTCCTACCTGTCAATGACTACTTCAGCTTCAACCACAACAATACACGAGCAAATAATAGATACAAACTCAAGGTAAACTGCTCCAAACTCGATTGCAGAAAATATGACTTCAGTAACAGAGTGGTCAATGCCTGGAATCCACTACCTGACTCTGTAGTTTCTTCCCCAAACCCCCAAAACTTTAACCTTAAACTGTCTACTGTTGACCTCACCCCATTCCTAAGAAGTCTGTAAGGGGCATGCATAAGTGCACCAATTTGCCTACCGTCCCTGTCCTAATATTCCTTTTTACTTACCCTTTTCATGTATTCAAATTATGTTTATACTTTTACCTGTTATCTTATATATACTTGACAAAATAAATAAATAAAAATAAAAATAAATAAAATCAGACAGGAGCCAATTGACCATAGGCAATAGTTGAGGTCTTTCTCTTTCATTGACATTCAAGTCCACCAGTCTTGTCACAAGAATACGTCTTTAGCCACAAAATTAAGGGGAAGAAAAAAAAATCTCATCCCCTGATAACTCATAAATAACTATACAGTGAGAATCAATGCCTTTCACTGCCTTATAGTCACCTCTAATATAGTTTTCATCAAGCCACATTGATTGAGAATGGACATATCGTACTTCTGAAAAGTCTGAAATTGCTTCTGAAGGAGTATGAAAAGCAACGATCCCTATGAAATAATACTGAAAAGATGTCTTAGATGTAATTTAAAAGCAGCATGGTTTGATACGTGTGCGAATCACTCACACACACCTATCTATCCTTTAAACTCTTCAGTTGAGGGACTCTTGAAAAGACTCTTGCTGGTAGATGAAATGAAGAATGTGGCTATCAAAAGAGTGTCTTCTCAAAGGAGAGGGGTGGGGAGTGTATAGGTTATCACTTATAAAGCCCTTCATGGCCTAGGCCCGGGATATTTGTCAGATCCCCTGCAGCCAGCGACAATCCCCAATCGCTCGGTGCGTTCCCACAGACAGGGCCTCCTCAGAGTGCCGTTGGCCAGACAGTGCCGGCTGGCGACCCCCAGGGGGAGAGCTTTCTCTATGGGCGCACCCACCCTCTGGAATCAACTTCCTCTGGAGCTCCTGACCTTCGCTCGTTCTGCCGCGATTTGAAGACCTGGTTGTTCCGCAGCCTGGACTAAGGGGTTTTTTTTAATGAATTTTAAATTGTTTTAAATTGGAATTTTAATTTTATATTGCTTTTAATGAGGAATTATGCATTTTTACTGTTGTGAGCCGCCCTGAGTCCTCGGAGATAGGGCGGCATATAAATTGCATAAATAAAATAAATAATAAATAAAATTCTTTCCAAAGTAATTTCAATCAGCTTTTCAGTATTGCCCTTTTTTGGCTGAAGACAGAAATATTTAACACATGATTAGGGGACCGGAGGCTAAAACAAATGAAGAACAATTACAGGAATTGGGTTTGTCTGGTTTAATGAAAAGAAGGACTAGGGGTGACAAGATAGCAGTCTTCCAGTATCTAAAGAGCTGCCACAAAGAAGAGAGGGTCAACCTATTCTCCAAAGCACTGGAGGACAGGACAAGAAGTAACTGGTGGGAGATCATTTAAGTTTAAAGATGATTAAACTAAGAAGAAATTTCATGAAAGTGAAAACAATCAGTTGAATGGCTAGCCTTCAGAAGTTGTGGATGCTCCATCACTGGAGGTTTTTAAGAAGAGACTGGAGAACCATGAATGGTAGAGGGTCTCCTGCTTGAGCAGGGGGTTGGACTAGAAGACCTCCTAGGTCCCTTTCCACTCTGTTATTCTGTTACAACTGGGATTGTATGGACTGCTTTTAGGCTGTGGTGGTTTTCATATGTATTTACTTAATCACGTTTTTCTCATTTAGGGTAAGCAGGCTTATGCAAAGCATAGACAAGGAGTCAGAATTAATAAGGCAAATAAAATATAGGTAGTCCTTGACTTACGAGAGTTGCTTGGTGACTGTTCAAACTTACTATCAACATGAAAAAAGAATCTCAAAGGAGATGGATTGTTGTTGTAAAATTGGGTGAAATATGGTGTACAGGAGAAAAGAAAACAGACGGGCAATTTCATATTTTTTCTTCTACTATTGAAATTATAACGAAAGATAATACGGTGGACGTTAAAGCATATCAGTTTAGATGTTATTGCATACTTGTTAATATTTATACGAAAATAAAAAAATTGTTTAAAAGATAGGGGTAAATAATATGGAATAAGGAAAATGGAATGTAATAATTATGAATATGTTTATCTGTATTGAAATGTATGATACTCAAACACCACACCATCCATATAACGATATGTATAAATTTTTAAAAAATAAAAACTTGATGGAAAAAAAAACATGAAAAAAGAGACTAATGACTGAGATATGAAGTTCCGATGGCCTCCTCTGCAGTAATGTGACAGAATTTCAACGAGCTTGGCAACCACATGGAAATATTTACAACCATTTGCAGCATCCCATGGTCTCATGGCTGCATTTTACCAGTTTTGCATTTTACAACTTCTGTTTTTTTCTGGCAAAACTGTGCCCATACCAAACCATTGGTTCTCTTAATGACTGAGGATATTCTTAATAACAAGACTGATTCGCTTAACAACTGCCATAAAAGGTCACAATATTGGATCAATCCAGTGGTGGGTTTCAAAAATTTTTACTACTGGTTCTGTGGGTGCAGCTTGGTGGGCGTGGCATAGGAAGGATACTGTAAAATCTCCATTCCCACCCCACTCCAGGGGAAGGTTACTGCAAAATCCCCATTTCCTCCCGATCAGCTGGGACTTGGGGGGCAGAGAATAGATGGGGGACGGAGCCAGTCAGAATTTTTTCTACCGGTTCTCCGAACTACTCAAAATTTCCGCTACCGGT